TCCACTTCCTGCCAGAATTATCTGCTCTGAGGCTCCCTGCATGCAAGTTCCAGCCTCATCTCTGGTGTTGGGGAATCACTCTTCCCACACAGAGCACCTCTGTGGTTGATGCTCTGAGGGCTTGTGGAAGGCCCTGCTGCTGGGCTGACTTCTGTTGCACCATCAAGATACTGTGCTATATTCCAGGCCTCACTTCCCACAATCCAATGCGGCTTGATCAAGCAACGGTGGAGGAGAGTGGGCGGTCTTCTAGGATGAATTATCTCCTGGTCTCAGCTTCAGGCTCTCACGCTACAGTTCTGTTTCTCTCTCCACTTCCTCCCCTGCTCTACCGATATCCATGCATGTCTCACCAGCCTCTGGTTGCATTTCTTCAGCCCACCCATGTTCAGATCGTGTAGGGCCCACCCATAAAAACACTTACCCATGGATCACTTCTCCCCACGTGGCATGCACTGTTTAGTTTAGCAGGATACAGTAGCTTGGCTGCATCTTTGTAGCTAAATTCCCACATGAGCTTGCTTCTCTTTAGCTATTTCTCCTATGGGTATAAGGTCTACCTACTGTTCTGTTTCTTATATTTAAATACAACTTACAGACACAGACTCCAAAATACCTTGTTATCGGGAAGTCTTTATTCTATGTCTTTTTTTCTCATCATTCCCCCTTTTCCCTTTTTAAGTGTATTTTTATGTTCATTTTTTATTAATGTATTTGTTTTTTTTCTTTCCTCCATTTTCAAGTTTTGTTTGTACATTTTTTCTAATATTTTATCTCTTCTCTACCACTTCAAAACATTTTCCAGCTCTTTCTTTTGCTTTTAAAAATCTTTTCTCCTTTTGCACTTTTCCTTTCCCTGCCCCTACAATGATAAACACTTCATTTATTTACTCTTTCTTTTTTTCTAGTTTCAACTTTAACCATTTCGCTTTAAAAGAATTTTTTTACTTACTTTATGCATTTGCCTGTGGGTTTATGTGTGAGTGCATGTGTGCATGTGCGTGTGTATGTGTAAGTGTGTATGTGGGTATGTGTATTCATGTCCGTGTGTTGTTACATTGTGTATGTTAGGAATGTATGTAACATACATTCCTACATGTATGCAGGAACCCACAAAGCCAGAACAGAGCATTGAATTACCAGGAACTGGACTTTGCGGAGGTCGTGGGCTGCCCTATGGGTGCTGGGTATTGAACCCAGATATTTTGCAAGACCAGTGAGCATTCCCAGCTGCTCAGCCGTCACTGCAGAACCCCTCATCTACTTTTCTATATTTGTATTAAATAATGTTTAACTTCATAGCACAAACACATATTACTTAGCTGCATATTACTTGGCTCTAACCAACTTTAAATATAGTGCCAAATCTGGGGCTCAGTCTTGGTCTCTGCTGTTGGCAAAGCTGGCATTTGGTGGCAGCTGTAGCCATGTCAGCCTTGGTGAGTGGAAGTCCATATTGCTGAGCCTATACATAACCCCCATCTCTGCCACCATAGCTGCTTTGCCCAGGAATGGCTGAGGAAAGAGATGACTGTCCACAGAATGGGTCATCATCCTATCTACTTGATTGTTGAACTCTTCCTCAGCTGAGTTCACCATTTGGTAAGTATTTACGTGGGACATAAGGATTTTCACATCCTTCGCCCATTTGGAGATGTCTAGCCCCATACTTCTTCCCCAGGTGTCTTCATCAATTGTCCAACCATGTTCTTACCAAGTCCCTGGCCATCTAGAAAACCCATTGGCTACAGCCATGACTCAGGAAACAATCTCACATCTGGCCATTTCTCCCTCCAAACAGCATGTATGACCTGAATTTCATGTAACTTGCTGAACCTTCAGGACCTGCTGGCACAGTCTCATGTATACAGCTTCCATTTTAGAATGGCTTGCTGCTGTGCACATACTGCTTTATGGCTGGGTGGGTCAGAGAATGCTTCATGATGGAAGCTCACATCACATGGTAACTTGGTATGCCGCTGTCAAATGTTCAACTTCCACTAAGGCCCAATAACAGAGCAAGAGCTATCTTTCAAGGGATGAACAGTTGTCTGCAGATGACAGTAGAGCCTTGAAGAGCCTTGTTCTAAAATCCCAGAGCTCCCCTCTGTTATTCACATATAGCATCCTGCCAAAGGATCCAAACAGCATTCTCATTTGCCACTGAAACCACAAGTTTCACGAGGTCTTCTGGAGCATATGGTCCATATGGTAGAGCACGCTGCATGGCAGGCTGGACATGTTAAAGAGCCTTCTCCTGTTCTAGGACCCACACAAAACTAACAGTTTTCTGAGTTACTTGGTATATTGGCCAGAGTTATACAAGCAAGTGAGGAATGTGCTGTCTCCAGAATCCAAACTGGCCCACTAAACACCGTGCTTCTTTCTTGGTGGTGGGAGGGCCAGCTTATCCTCCACCACAGGAGGAATGTCTGTGCATGCCTCACACCTCTGTACTTTGAAATTTTCAGTAATGTAGAACACCATCATATTTTGGGCTTATTATCCATCTTCTGATGTATGTATGTGCTACTTAGAAGTCTAAAGTGGTTATCTTCTCCTCACGTGGTTCAAGTAGCATAATGGCATCTATATAGTTAATATATATATAGCCTATATATAAGGAAGAGACAGACAATCAAGATCCCTTCTAATGAAGTTATGACACAGGGCTAGGGAGTTAATATATCCTTGAGGTACATCTGGAAAGGTATATTGCTGGCCTTGCCAACTGAAAGCAATTGCTTCTGGTGCTCCTCATGGACAGAGATCAAGAAAAATGACATTTGCTAGATCGATAGCAGCAAACCATGTACCAGGACTGGTTAATCTGCTCAGATAAGGACATCTGGCATGGCAGCTGTCATAGGAGTCACCACCTGGCTGAGTTTTCAGTACTCAATTGTCATTCTCCAGGCTCCATCTGTCTGCTGCACTGGCCAGATAAGATGGCGAAAGAGAGGTGTGTTGGGAGCCACCACCCTGCATATTTCACGTCCTTGACGGTGGCACTAACCTATTCAGCTCCTCCTGAGATGTGATATTGTCTTCAATTGACTGTTTCCCCGGGTGATGACAAACCCAGCAGCTGCCTCGCATTAGGCTTTTCCAACCAGAATAGCCTTCACCTCACAGGTCAGGGAGCCAATGTGGGCATTAGGCCAGCTTGAAAGCCTGTCTATCCCACTCATACATTCTAGGACTGAGGAAATACCCCCAGATGAGTTCAGGGACTCACAGGACCTCCTGTGAGCCAGACTTCATAAAAAACTATGTTAATTACCTGACCTCCATAAGTCCCACATCAACGGGAGGGCCACAGTTTTTGGTGGGCTCTGCTGGAATCAGTGTCCGTTCTGAGCCAGTATCAGATAAACCTCCAGAAGTCTCATTATTTCTTTTCCCACAGTGTTCAGTAACTCTTGTGAACTGCCTCAGGGCCCTCTGGGAAAGGACTGGAAGAAAGCAAACAGTAAAATTTAGGTATTTTATCAAGATCCTCCCTTATGGGGACCTGGCCATCCCTTCACTCAAGGGGTTGTGGGTCTGAAAACTGGCTGAAGTCTGTTTATTGGTTCACAGGCTAGGATTCCCACTTGTCATGATTCAATGTAGTTGTCTTTCCTTGGTTTGATAAATTTTCTGTTTACACATTTTTTTTAAACACCAACATTATAATGAGAGCTTTGATTTGGCTTTCTGCAACGGTTTGTGTGCATCTAGAGCTGGTCAATGTTATGGCCTAGTTCACTGTTTCATTACCTTGTTCTGAGATGCTAGAAATTGGTTAATTTTATCACAGAGCTCATTTTTCCCTTTGTCAACTTATCTAGAGATACTAGGAGCAACCAACTCACATCATCATTTTCTTATTTTCCCACAAAATTTCAAAAGTCTTATGAATAGAATAACTAAAGTCCTTGCTTCTCACAATAAGTGAGTCAGGGTAATTAAATGCATTTGTCTTCATGAGTTTGTTAAATAGCACACACTATGGGCTTTCTGTAGTTTCCAAGAGACTTCAGTGACTATAGGTGTTGAAAAATTGAAAGCCTGTTCCAGACATTTTTTTAAAATCCATCCTTATTTTAGGATTGTGCAACAGAGTTACATGCGTGTAACTGGTTCCACTTGGGAGATTTATTAAGGGAAGGGGAAAAGGAAGGGTAAAGGACAGGGGGAAGGAAAAAGGGAAGGGAAGGGGAAGGGGTCACAGAGACTGCCTCTGGGCAGGGCAGGAGAGAAAGAGAGTGAGAGGAGGGGCTTTGAGTTCTCATATAAGGGGACCCTGAGCATGCGCAGGTGGCATCAGGTGGTCTGTAGGTAGCTTCACAGATGCCTGATATACGGTTTGTCAGGTCCCTTGGGAATGGCCGTAGAGATGCCTGTTTACAGATCCCAACACTTACACTTCTATTGCTCCAGAATCTCTTATATATTTGTCAGGGGTCTCTAGAGCAGTTATTTTCAACCTGTAGGTCACAACCCTTACAGGAGTCGCATATCAGATGTCCAGCATATCACAACAGTGCAAAATTACAATTATGAATTCGCAACAAAGTAATCTTATGGTCACCATAACACAAGGAATCATATTAAAGTTTCTCAGCATTAGGGAGTTTGAGAACCACTGCTCTAAAGAAACAGAACTGATAGAATAAATCTCTTTTTCTCTCTATCGATATACCTCTATATTATATAAATACATATAAATTAGATATCTAATAAATACATATTTATGTATATTAGAATGGCTTACAGGCTGTGGTCCAGCTAATCCAACAATGGCTGTCTACTATCAAAGGGTCGGTGAATTCAGTACTTGTTTATTTCAAGAGTCTGGATGTCCCTAGCAGGTCTTCAGTATGTGGTGGAATCCCAAAGAAGTAGACTTTCATGCCAGTGAAGGGATAGACTTGTCAGAGAGAGAGTGAGGACAAGAAGGCAAAGAGCAAGAGCTTCCTTATTCCATGTTTCTCAGATAGGCTTCCATAGAAGGCATGGCTCATTTTTAAGGTGAATCTTTCTACCTCCAAAGACCTGGATTTAGAATGGGTCTTCCCACTTCAAATGATTCAATCAAGAAAAACCCCTCAGAGGTATGCCCAGCCCTTGAGTTTTAGTTAATTGATGGTGTGGTCAAGTTGACAACCAAGAGTAACCATCACAACTGACAATCTAATGTTCTTAGATATTTCTTCATCCCTGTATGCAGCATATGCTTTACTAAGCAAATGGGTCCCAGGCAGATGTATCCAGCTGTTCAGATGGTGCCATGTATCTTGTCTCTTATAGTTTTACACTGATTCATGAGGGAGCAGGCAAGAGATTCTATGGCTTTTTATCCAAGCCCTTTAGCCGAGCTCCAGAGACCCCTCCTTCAGAAACCCATGCAGAGAATATGGGCATGTGGCAGAGAAGAATAGGCCACCTCATCCATGGACAGGCACATCCTCGCTGATCTGTGATAATTCATTGTTCTCCTGGATTTCTGTCAAGGTGTTTCTATTCCCATCCCCCAGAGTGACTGAGTCAGACACAGTGACCTCACCTGGCTCAGGGGGTAGGGCCCACGTGCCCCAGTGATCAAGGTGTATATGAGAAAGCAAGACTGTTGGAAAGTGTGTGTTGGATCTAAATCAGTTGCCTGCCAGGGCTGTGGGAATAAAACACCTCAGACGGGATTATTCAGGATGTGCTATAATATCCCAAGTCCCTGATGTTTCAGTTGAGGAAAGGATGACATTAAGAAATTGCCCACATGGGCCAGTTAGATGGCTCAATAGGTAAAAGTGCATGCTGTCAAGACTGACAACCCGAGTTCAAGTCCTGAGACCCACATATTGTAAGAAGAGAAAATACTTCAAAAAGGTGTCCTTTGGTCTCCAAACGTGAGCCCTGGCATGTTCTACTACCCACACTCATAAATAAATGTAAGTAAAATACCCCAAACAGACAGACAGATGTACAAGACAAAAATAAACAACAAAACAAAACAACTATAACAAAAACCTGACCAAAAGACTGTGGCTACAAATCTGTGTTTAAATATCTACTGGACTCTTACGGTCTGTGAGAACTGAATTTAAACTATGTCTCTTCTGGTTGGCATAGTGCTTTTTTGAGACAAGGTATATAATTATGGCTGGCCTCCTAGAGACTCACCTTCCTCTCCCTCCTGAATGCTGAGGATAAAGTCCCAGTGCCCCGAGCTGAGCTAACCTGAGTCTTTTAAACCTCAGCTTAGACTCAGATTTCTAAGCTCCTCCTTTGTGATGTACACACTGGGCTTGGGACTGCTCTTGTTTAAAGTACTGAATGATGGGTGATGGGCAACATTTCAGGAGCTGACAAACAACCCAACCCTTGCTCAGTGAGTGACAGCTGCTATTACCACTGCCCACTACAGGTTTGTTTTTTTTTTTTTATTACCGTCACGATTTTAGCAAAGTGAGTAGTCTTTTCTGTCTCTTCTCTGCATGTGATCTCTTCTTAACGTGCAGTTTTTCCCTTCTCCCTTCGCTCTGGCTCTACTCCAGTGTCCCCCTCCCTCTTGCCCCACCTTGCTTCAACCCAGAATCAGATGGGGAGGAAGCTCATGGTGTATTTTGGTATGATCCTCGTAAATCCCAAGGGTTTGGGAGATTCATCAATGTCTTCAAGCCTCTTTGGGAACTTGAAACGGAAGTTCTGCAAGATGGTGGTGAGGAAGAGGAAGAGCTCCATCTTAGCCAGGCCATCTCCCAAACAGATCCGCTTTCCTGAAGAGGAGAGAGAGAAGGAGCTCAGAAGTGGAGGCGGTTCTCACTGCCACCACACCTCAGTACCTGGTGCGCAGCTGCATTCTCTTAGGGAGAAGGGGCTGCAGCACTGGAGCATAAAAAATGAACACGGAAGATTTTAACCTCGCCCTTCCCAGTTTCCCTATACAGGATGTTGGTCGGTGAAATGGGAAGTCCAGGTGCTTCCTGAACCAATTATACTCTCAAATGTGGATGCTTGGCTGTTCCCTCATGTATGTATGTATGTATGTATGTATGTATGTATGTATGTACGTACGTTTGTATGTGTCTGTCTGTCTGTGTATTCTATTTTTTTTCAGGCAGGGTTTCTCTGTGTAGCCCTGGCTGTCCTAGACCCACTTTGTCGACAAGGGTGGCTTTGAACTCAGAGATCCACCTGCTTCTGCTGAGATTAAAGGCATGAACCATCACCACCTGGATGTTGTCCCCTTTTTCCAAGAGTCTGAAGAATTGCTTGTATGAGCATGACCTGGGGAAGCTGGCAGACTCAGTCTGTGCTTTGCTTTTTCCCCATCTCTGAAAGTTATCCTTGATCCCATTGATACTTTGACCTGTGTCCGGACGCTTGTGCTTGGTAGGTACAGGGGTTGCACATGGTTGGCTGGAAGTTAGGTTCCAAAAGGACTTGGTGCAGGAGAATGATGCTAGGCTGTATCACAGTGAGGGGAGCTGACATGAGTTTCCTTTGGTGTGAGCACTAGTGACCCAGTGTTTCCTTACCTGTGGAAAAGGGCAGAAAAGCAGCGTTCTTCTTCAGCTGCCCCTTGTCATCCAGGAAGTGCTGGGGGTTGAAATCTTTGGGACCAGGGAAGAACTCTGGGTCTGTCATCAGAGAACCTAGTATAGGGAACACTTCAGTGCCCTGAAAGAAAGAAGGAAGGAGATTCGAGAAGTAGAGTGATGGAGATAGCACCTCCCAGAAGTGCAAAGGCACCAGGTGAGGAGAACTGGAAGGTGCAGTGTTGGGGGTCCCTGAGAGAGGGGCATTAGGGAATTTCAGTTTTGAGGGGATAAGATATGTGTCGCCTGTGGTAGGAAACTGAGATCAAGGGGGTTCATGCCCTGAGGCAGGCTGTCAGAGTGACTCACGATCTGTGCCTCCAGCACAGGGGTTGAGGGACTGGAGGCTATCAAGGCAGAAGAGCAGGTAGAACTTGGGGTTCCAGCAGTGAGACAAGAAGTGGGGGATGAATTTCCCGAGCCACCAAGTCTAGGAAAGGTGACAGTGATCTACTCAGAGGGTCCTGGCGAGACTGAGGTGGTAGTCGAGGAAATCTTTGATTGGAGGAATCAGAGTGGGTTGTACAGCGATAGCTGAAAAGGGGCACTGAGACCCAGGAAGAGGACTGGAGGGTACGGCTGCACCTTGGGGAGGAAGAAGCCACGGAATGTGGTGTTCTTGGTAATCCTTCGAGGAATGCCCAAGGGAGCAAAGTTAGAAAATCTCTGGATCTCGTTGATCACAGCCTCGGTGTAGGGCATCTTCAGGCGGTCCTCATACTGGGGCTGTCGGTTCCTGCCAATCACCCGCTCAATCTCCTCATGGACCTTGGCTGGAGTACAAGGGGAGAGGGGATGTGTTTAAGAGCCCAGGGGCCTCAGAGCAGGTGCAATAGTTTAAATGTGTAAAACTGTATGTACTGCATGTCTCTGTAAATGGCATGCATATAGTCCATTTGAAACATATCTCCATACCTCTCTATCCTTTTCACTACAGAACCATGGTGGGGGAGGGAAGAGTGTCGGGGCATGGACCAGAGAGAAGGAATCTGGCAGCCAGTGGGAAATCAGTGCAGAGATGTATCATATTTTAATTGCTAGTGAGAACTCTGTTTATGCATTTAAGATGCCCCTGTCTTCGCATAGCAGGGCATGTCTGAGCATTCAGGGACCTGGGAGAGGTAGGAGTCATTGTGGTCAACTTGGAAGAGGTTGGAACATCTGGGGTTCCCAACTTTCCCTGCCCCACACCAGCCTCACCCTCCACATCTGGGTGCTTCATGAGCAGCAGGAAGCCATAGCGCAGCGTGGAGCTGACAGTCTCAGACCCGGCAAAGAACAGGCTTAGTGATGTCATCACCAGGTTCTTCATGTGAAACTCTGAACTGAGGTCCTTCTTCTGCTACAGAGATAGGGAACACAAATCCATTCATCAGGTGATCACCCCCTTGGGGATGTTAAGGTTTTAATTTTCTAAAAACCTTTAGTCATTCTTTTATAAATATGTTATTAATTCTTTGAGGATTTCTTTTATTGTATTGTGAGCACATTCACACCCTTCCCCAAACCCTCCCAGATGAATCCCTTTCCACACCCACTGAACCTTGGGTCCTCATTTTTTAGACATATATGTGATATGTACTTTGAACTTATTCCCCTGTTAAGTTCCCTTTTCCCTTTTGTCCTCCACTGAACCCTTTCTTATTTCTCGTGAGCCCTCCTCCAATTATGACCTCTTATTTGTGTGGCCAACTGCTTGTAAGTAGGGTTGGCTGCATGAGTACAGGTGAATACAGTTTTGTTTGGTTTGGTTTTGGTTTTGTTTGTTTTTGTTTTTTTACTTGAGAAAGAGAAATTTACTGGTAGCCCCACCACTAAGGAATAGAATTTCCTCTTTCCTCTCAGCTGTTAACTGCAGATTAAGTTCCTCAGGGAGAAAGGGGGCCCCATCGCCACCACTTCTGGAGTTTTCTTTGGACCCAGCTCTCAAAGGGTCCAGACCAAAGGTGGAAAGCCTAATCTCCAAGTCGTGTGAGGAGTCTTTGGTTTGCATGAGTTTTGCTTGTTTCTCTGTCGTGTCAACTGTCTGTCCTTTAGCTATCATTCTGATGTCACTCTTCATGGTTGGAACAGTTAGAACATGAGGGGTCTATAGATCTTCAAGCTCTACAGAATTCCAAGTCCTTTCTTCCAGATGTGAAGCACTCTTCTATTGCTGTTGTTGTTTTTTTGGTTTGTTTTTTTGAGACAGGGTCTCTCTGTGTAGCCCTGCTGCCCTAGACTCACTTTGTAGACCAGGCTGGCCTCGAACTCACAGAGATCTGCCTGACTCTGCCTCCTCAAGTGCTGGAATTACAGGAATGTGCCAACGCACACGGCTGCTGTGGAGCACGTTTATGCCACGTAATAAACTCATGTTGCCCGCACCACTCATATATATCTATGTGCATTTCATAACTGGGATGTGAAATGCTGGAGAACGTGGTGGCTAATAGCAAAAGCCTCAGAGTCAACCCGTATGTGTGGGGTGTGTTCAGTTTCCTCGCTACATGATGTCAGGCTGGTCACTTAGAAACTCTGCGCAAAGTCTCCTCATTTGTGAGATTTAGTCTCCACAGAAACTTCTTCAGTAGCTTCAAGGGGTGCTAAACAGGTGTCTAGCAGAATGTACTGAGGACAGTGTCTGACAGGGGAATGCTGGAATATCGGTTGGCATGATGATTTGCTTGCCCATGTCCTGGCTTGGATAAGGCACAATGTTGGAAGACTCTGCTTCTTGTTGTTGCAGTCCATCATGTCTGGACACCTCTCCCCAGCTTGGTGCAGAGTGGACGACTCCCTTTCTCAGCAGGGGCTTCTTTGTCTCTGCCTGACCTCATCTGGAGTATCTGTAGGGACAGACGCCTCTAACCATATCTGGATCCTGGCCTTTGGCAGTTTCCCCTGCTTGCCCACAGGATAACTAGGTACTGTGTTCCTGTTCATATGATAGGACTGTGCTGCCAAATGCAAATAAAGCATTCCTGGCACTTCAACCTCCCGCCAATGGTGTGCATCTACCCTGGGAACCCTCCACCCATTCCCCAAGAACTATGTAGCCTTTGTTCACCTTGAATAAAGTTGAGCAATCTTGCTAAGACTGGTCTCAGAAAGCTATTCTGTTGTACTCACTGTCTAAACCCTTCTCCTCCCTCTTCCCCTTCCCCATTCATCACATCTGCTCCCTTTGTCCTCCGGGGTCAGGAGCCAACAGTCCCCATGGAGAGGGCTCTACAGCTCAATAGCTAACCAGTGTGGTTAGCCATGGCTGGACTGTGAGGCCCATCCCAGGGCTGGATGGGCTCTTCCTTCTTTTCTAAAGTGATTCCCAGCTACCTGGTTGTAGACTTCCATCCCCCAGTGCTTGGATCACCTCCTGCATGTGGATGAGAAAGGAGTCAATGAAGTTCCGTGGGGAATTGAGGTCCAGGGTACTCTGGTTCTGCTTCACTTTCCTTATCATGAAATCTTCCAGTTCCTGCGTGTACTTGATGATCTGTTGCTGTGGTCCTGGCAGGTACCTCATCACTGAATGGAACATGTCGTAGAGCTGTGGTGGGGGAGAAAGTGTGGAAAGAGAGCTGTCAGTGGCAATACCCAATGAGCATGGGACTTGTCTCAGGGAAAGAGTGTTACTTGGCTGGATCGCAACACACAACTCTACTTTTTCTTTCACCTTTTCAGGTATGCATTCTTTCTTTTTCCCTTCCATTAATTGATTTATTTATTTACTTTACATCCCAATCAGTGCTTTCCTTTCTTCCTCTCCTCCGAGTTCCTCCCTCACACCTCCCTTCTCTCCATTCCTCCTCTTTTTCTCCTCAGAGTAGGGGATGTCTCCCACGGATATCAACCCGCCTTGGTATATCAAGTTGCAGCAGGACTAGGTGCATCTTCTCCTATTGAGGCTAGACATGGCAACCCAGTTAGGGGAAAGGGATCCAAAGGCCGGCAACAGAATCACAGGACTCTACTTTATTCTTTAAAAAACTCCTAATATTCATTTTGTTGTTTTTACTTTTAATGATGTGCATATGCATGAGTACAGGTGCCTGAAGTCAGATACCCTAGACCCGAGATCCCCTAGACCTGTGATTCCCTAGACCTGAGACCTGAGGTCCCCTAGAGCCAAAGTTGCAGGTGGTTTTGAAATGCCCGCCACAGGTTCTGGGCCTGAGCTCAAGTCCTCAGGAAGAGCAGTGCAGGCTGTTAAGCACTGCAGCTGTCACTGCTGACCAGAGACAGCAGTTTCACAGCTGAGTTAAGCTTGAGGGCCATTGTCCTACAGCTTAGTTGGGGTGGCTCAAAGGGGGGCACTAGCAGACATTCAGCCACTTAAGTGACTGTGGATCAAAGCATTATTCCAGCAGAGTGTAATGGAGAATCACATATCTAGATGTTTGGGCATCTGGAAGGCTAAGGTTAGTTGTCTCCATATTTGTTTGAGATTATAACTGGTTTTCTAGGTAGTCAGGTCTTCATCCTGGGAAGGTACCGGTTATAGGTATGGGGTACGCCTGTCAGACATTGTTTTGACGTGAGCTTCGTGCAGCTAGAAGACCCTTATTTGGGAGTTTGGGAAAACATCCTATCCAGAGATTTATGTTTGACTGTCTTGGTTGAAGTGCCTGTCTACCCATTCCTGAATTTATGTGGCACAAACGACTGAGTCTTGCCCACTTGGACCAGTGGGATATTTTGGAAGAGTGGCGCGCACAGGCAGGACAGTTTCACTGCCCTTGAGTTTGCAGAACCAGGTGTTCAGGAATGGAGGAGGGGCCTCAGGTGTTACTTGTCTCCCATGGGCAGGTGTGACTTTCGGAAGGACCCCATACAGGCTTTGTTAGAGCACAAACTGGGGAAATCTGCCCAGGAGAGAGAGACATGCAGAGGGCTTCCCTCTCAGGCTGTCTTTTGAGATACCCAGATGTTGTTAGATTCTGAGTACCGCAGAGCTCCTGCGGGCTCCGATGTACCAATTGCCGAAGGGTGAGGTTTTGGAGGAGTTTAGGAGAGTGGAGGTGGCCCTTGCCCTGTGTGGGTTCAGCCGCTGTGGAGCACTAGAAGGGCATCAGGCAGAGCTGCAGTCTGATACCTGCCCCGTGCGGGAAGCTGCGAATCTGTTCATCTGATTCATCATCCGCAGCAGTGACAAGAACTCCTTGTCCTCATAGCCGAAACGGTCCCCGAAGATGATGGAGCTAATGATGTTGGAGGCAGTTTTGCTCAGGTAGAAGGTGGGGTCAATGGGGGCTCCTGTGGGGTGGGGCATGATTGGGAAGATACAGGGATTAGGAGGGAGAGAAGAGTCAAGTGGATGGTGTGGGCATTAAGTGAGGGACCAAGCTCACAGCACTAGAATCAGGGGACTGTCTGGCGGGCATTCTTCCCCCGCCCCGTTCTTCTCCACAACCCACAGGTTCTCGTGGTCAGGGCTGTTGCTTCTCTTGCTCACCGCACGTGGCCTGCAGCCTCTGGATCAAACAGCCCGCCTCCTCCTGGATGCGCTCCTCCACACCACGCTTGCCCACGCCGAAGTCTCTCAGTGTAGCCAGGGTGAAGCGCCTGAGTTGTCTGGCTCGCTCCCCGCTGCTGAACGTCACCCCTGTAAAGGTATGAGCATGGGGGTGGAGAGAGGTAAAGTGAGCTGAGGAAGGAGGTAAAGAGTTGGAGAGAAAACAGGGCCTACAAACAGACCCTGCGTCAGACACACGTAGAATAGGAAAGCTGGAATGAGTCAGCCAGTCAAAGAGTATCTTAGCTGGACCAGTTCCATCATGCCCCAAGATACCGCTAGCTGCTCTGGGTTCCTGAAGTGGCTAAAGCAACCAATACAGGGACGGTCGGACATCATTTTCTGAAATCAGAAGACACCCATAAAAGCAAGGACAGACTACACGCAAACATACCCATGGCCCTGGCTCTGATTCTGTTTACGTGACCTGAGCTATAGTCACGTCTATATTTTGACACTTGGTTGTAGTAGCTGTCTGTGCCTCCCCCAGTTTTTCAGGGAAACAGATTTCTCCTCTGTGTTAAACTGTAACCACAGGCTTAATGTTCTAAAGATATTTGGCTCTGTGTACTTTGAATTTTGCCCTTTCTTGCCTATAATAGGAGAGTCTGCTGCTCAAGGCCATTTTGTAACCTTGGCCGGCCTTTGCTGGAGTATAATGTTCCATAAGCACTATACTCAGCTTAGAGGAAACGTGAAGTGTGTAAAGCAGCATTTAAACAAACAGGCAGCACAGGGAAGAGATGGTTCTGGCCGACCTCGCAGAAGACGTGTTTGAAGCCAGGCACCCCCACGGCAGCTCTTGGCCTCTTTAACTCCAGGAGATCTGACTCCTTCTTCTGGCTTCCATGCGCACCAGGCATGCACATGCTGTACAGGGACACATACAGGCCAAACGCCCACACACAGAGAAGTGAGAATAAATAATCCTAGAAGCCGACCTGAGCACTGTGGAGTCTGCCTGAGCCCTGCAGCTGACAAGTAAGGGTTCTGTGTGTGGGCGTCGTCTTCATGTCACTCTGTCATTTTATTTTGGATTCAACTCACACCCCCATATGTACAGAATTTAAAATAAAATAAATCTTCAAAAACCTAGAGAGGGCCGATGTGCCTGTGGGCGCGTGGGCACAGGTGGCACCTTCATCAAGGCCTGCCATCAGTTCTGCTGTGGACCGGGAGCCACATGGACTAGGGGCTTAGGAGGTGCTGTGACTTCAATGTTTGTGTTGGCAGCTGCCACTGCTGCATAGCTGACCCCTGATGCTCTCACTTTACTCCTCAGCGTGAACTGTACAGGTAGGTCATTCTTTGAACCGTCAGGACCATCTGGGTTTGGACACCACCCCCACCCCAAAATTGCATAACATAGAGGCACTCAAGTGGCAGAGACAGAAATAAGGAGGCCAAAATCTGAGGTGAAAACAAAGGTTATGGATGATTCCAAGTTGGGCTAGAAACAGATAAAAACAGGGAGAGAGAGAAGCTGAGGCCATCTGAAGAAGCTGTTGGGGAGGAAGGAGAGGAAGGAAACTGTGAAAAAGATGATTTTGGTCTCAAATCAGAGAAAGAAAGGGAGGGAAAGAGAAAGAATTATGGTAGAATGTAGATGTTTACCTTCTTTATGACAGCAAAAGATAAAACTATCAAGGGCTGGGCTGAAGGCTCATTGGTTAAGAGCACTCGTTCTACAGATGAGCGGGGTTCTGGTCCAGGCATCCACACAGCATCTCTCAGCCATCTGAGACCCCCACTGTATAAAGTCTGATCATCTCTCTGACCTCCACTGGCACCAGGCACATACACACACAGTGCACATACATCCACACAGACAAATACTCATACATAGAAAAAAACAAAGTAAATAAACCTAAAATGTTTAAAGAAGATGAGAATATCGACTAAATTTAAAAGGATTCAATCTAGGAGAATGTCAAGAGGTTCTAAGAGATAGAGCATGGAAGGAGGACACTTCATGAAACAGAAGAAGCAGTAGGGGTAGGAAGCATCTGGGAGCAATGATCACAGATTCTGAAACAGGCCAGGGAGAGACACATTGAGAAGCAACAAGCAGCAGGGTGTGGAGAGAAGGAAACAGGACTCTGTAGAGCCTTGAAGGGGGGAGGTGGGTTAGGAAGCAGGCTCCTTAAACAGGCTAACAACTGTCCCTGGCCACGCTCCCCAACGTGGTACCCTCCTCACCATAGCCTTTGAAGAGTGTGTTATAGGTGGCCTGCTCTCCTCGTCCGCTGAATTCTTCAGCTTGGTCGACCAAAGCCTCTTTGACGGCATCATATCCGTACAGCACCACCACACGACGAGGCCCAAGGTGGATGGTGAACACAGGGCCATAATGCTCACTGAGCTGGCATGGGGTACAAGGGATCTGTTAGATGAGTTATTCGCCCACCTGAGCCAGTACACAGTGGCCAGTTAATATGATATTCTGCTTGGAATAAACAAACGACTGGAAGAAAAAAAAAAAATGAAGACCTGGAATAGCTCCGTAGCCTTCTAAACTCCACTATCATAAGACTCCAGCTCACTCCATGAGTTCTCTGTCACAATGAACGGGAAACAGCACACACACACCCACACTCCCAGGTCCCATCCATCCATACCTCTGTGATGGAACTATAAATGTCTTTTGTATTCAGTTGCAGGTAGTTCCCAATGAAAGGCAAAGGAGTGGGTCCTGGAGGGAGTTTTCCCCTGGATTTCTTCTGCCAGACAGACATCAAGACCATGACGCTCAGGTAGGCCAGTATGACCACAAGGAGCCCCAACACCAGCATGGTGGCCAGTGAGGGTGACAGGCTGATGGCCAAGGCTGAGATGCCCTGCCTTTATACCCCCAGGGAGAGAGGGTGCCCTTTGCTCCTATTTATCTAGGTGAGTCTTTTACCTCCCAATCTTATCTCCTAACAGTGACGTTGTCTGTGTTGCAACATCAACAACATGGATGAGGGGGGAGACCACTGACTGTCAGGCTTAATCCAGAACCCTTAAAGAGGTGTTATCCACAGACTGCCCACCTCTGGGTCACACAGAACTACAAACCTATATCTGTATGGCTGAACACATGAAGATAGCCCTGGTGGATATTTGTGCTCTGTGATTGAATTCAAATTCTCAGATGTTCCTTAGATACATTCCGGTATTACTGGAATGGTACAGGGGGCATGGCTACCGATGTTGAATCTTTGGGGGGAAAATTATTTCACTTTCTTTCTTTTATGATCATATCTTGTTAAAATTTTATGTATTTGAATGTTTTCCTTGCACTTCTGTCTGTGCGACGCATGTGCACTGTGTCCGGGGATGCCAGAAGATACAGACAGATCCCTTGGAAATGGAGTTACACACGGTTGTGAGCCCCCCATGTGTGTCCTGGGAATAAAACCTAGGTCTTCTGTAAGAGCAGCAAGAGCCCCCTATGCTGTCTCTGAGTCCTAAATCTTTGCATCTGTTTTATTAGGAGAAAAACATTAGTAAGGAACTCAAGAAGGATTCCAAAGCTGTGGATTGGCGTTCACCTGGCAGGAGGCTCTGTGGGTGTGGAGTTCCTGCTAGAAGTGGATAAAATTCCCTGTAGGAGACCACATGTTGGGTTTGGCGTTGGTCCTGTGCTGTGTCTTCATGCTCAAAATTCTTAAAGGAGCCTTACCTTGAGATTAGGACAGGCAACCTTCTCCCTGTCTGTGTATGGCTTGGAAAAGGGGTAGAAACCCACAGCCACAGTTCAGTGCTCTTTTCATGGGATAGAGAAGAATTGCTCAGAATTTCAGCTGGTGGGAAGGGATTGCAGAAGCTCTGCCAAACAGCAGGCAGAACGACCAATATGGTGAAAAACCCTGGTCCTCACAAAGTTTCTAACTTACAAAGAATCCCCCTGGGAAGCTCACTGGGGTAAGGAGTGCTTCTGACATGAGTATGTTTTTCAGGTTACATACCTGTGTATGAGGCACAGAACGCAGGGCAGGCATGAGCACATGTGTGAAAGACCTTTAGATCAAACTCTCGAATGCCAGTCCGTGGGGCTCCGTCTTCTTGCTTTCCCTCTCTGTGCATCTTAGTTGGCAAGCAGGCCGTGCATGGTGGTGCTTGTAAAGCGACAGCCCATTTGAAGGCGTGTTCGATGGTTTTAAGTGGCATTTCTTGATTTTTTTTCCCCTTAGGGCCTGCTCTTAGCAGTCAGAGGGAAGTTCAATGGCAGAGATTTAGGTTAACCCCAGTGTGGAGAGCATAGGCCGACCCTGGGATACTGAGGCTGTGAGCAAAGGAAGGATGAATGGCCATGCTGATCTTACCTTATTGACCTTCTTTCAAAAAAAAATCCAACATGTATTTGTGTGTGTGTGTGTGTGTGTGTGTGTGTGTGTGTGTGTGTGTGTATGTGTGTGTGTGTGTGTTACATGGACATGTACCACAGTGTACAGTGGAGGTCAGAAGACAACTTGTAGCAGTCGATCCTCTTCTCCCATCAAGTGGACTTCAGGAATCCAACTCAGAGCATCAGGGCTGGTGAGCCGTTCCACCAAATCCAAAGTTATTGAAGTCACAATAAGGACAAACAACCTTTTGGTGAACGTGTATTCTGGGAAGATATGGGTAATGTGTGCCTGGTCATTTGGGTCTTAGTGCCAAATGGGCTTTTTCAACAGTAGCCTCATTATGGTCCCTCCATTGGCATTGGATGAGTGATAATTATTTTTCTACCTCTGGTACCAAAGGGACTCTGAGACTGTGTCCAGTGGTCGCTGTGGTCGCTTTTATAAAGTCATAAGGATGGCACCAGAGGAGCCTGAGGGCGGTCTCGACAGGTGTGTGCACAGCATTAGTTATGAGCCGAGATTGCCCTCACCTTGTTTCCAGCCAGGACTCTGTGGGTTCCTGGGAAACCTTTGAGAGTGGGACCACTTTGGCCTGCCCTAGCCTTTGACCCTCTAACTCAGGAAGTTTATGAGGGCAAAATTCCTCTCAAGACTGGTCTCTTGTTGTTGTAGATTTCTGGACTCTGAAATTGTTGAAGGAGGCAAGATCAGTATTCTAGGAACGAATAGGTGTGAAGACAGTTGTTGGTTTTGAAGATGGAAGATTTGGGGAGGAGATTTTATGACTGTGATAGCAGGTACAACCCCTCTTCTCCCAATCTTCTGCCCATACACGGAATGGCCTCTATGCCTGCCTGGGCTCTTGCTAGTCCCTTTACTATAGTGACAATATTGAAATATTGGTCAATGAAAGTGGCGCGGGCAAGGGCTCTGCATGTCCAGACAGGTTCCAGGAAGGTGTGCAGGCAGGAGTTCTGATCTTCCCAGCAGGAGATGCATGTGTGCAGAGAGCAACCGTGTGTGTTGGGTTGTATATAGAGGGAGATCTGGTCCCCACCCTGGTTTCCCAGCTACCACTGTAGCTTTCCAGGATGTGGAGCTTGCCATGCATGAATAGGCCTTAACCCAGGTCAGAACCATTCCCCACCTGCACTGTTAAGCCTGAAAGAGAGCAAGGAAGTGTCCCCATCATCTTCCTCAGGAGATGAAATCTTGTCCATGACACCTCTCTGTGGATCCACTTGCCAGCACCATAGGGCATGGAGGCAGTTGTAAGAACACCGACTCTTATCCCTACAATGGCACTCACCTGCCACTGAGGAAAATGCCAGGCCCACCCCTCATCCAAGAAGATAGCAGCCACAGCAGACATAACCAGCATGTGTTGGTCCCCTCTACCAGGCTGAATGTCAGTGAGTCCACAGAGAGGGCCTCCCTCCTCTCCAGGTTGTGGCCTGATAACATAGCCGCCACTTCTTGGATGAGAGGTGTGCCTGGCGTTTCCCTCAGCAGCAGGTGGAGGCTTCTGGAGGGACAAAATCAGCTGGTCTTACAACTGCCTCTGTGCCCTATAGTGCTGGCAACTGGAGCCGGAGAGAAGTGGCCTGGACAAGATTTCATCTGCGGGGAAGCTAATAGGGAGGCTTCCTTCTCTAGTCTTAACAGTCTGTGAAAGACTGTGTAGGTCCCACATCCAGCTTATGAAGACCCCACAATGAGAAGAGTTCCCTAACAAGGAGCTGGGGTGCTTCTGTGCATCTAGCCCAGTGTGGTGCATAGGGTGTGGTGATGGGCAGCTTTCTCCTCTAGCAGCTGCCCACCTGACCGGCTCCCTCGTGACAACTTAACAAGTCTTACCTCAGAGCCACATATATAAACCCCTCGATAAGTCACCGCTGTAAAGGAAGTTTGGGTGTCTTTAAAGACTGAGTTATGTCATGTAAATATGTTTTTGTTTTAATCCCAAAAGTGAGACTTTAGCTTGGGCTTTAGTTTGTCCACAGCTGATAATTGTCTTGTGTGTGGTCTTTGCCAGCTGGTAATGGCCTGCCTCGTGCAGCATGGAGAGGGGCATGGTCTAGGGCTCTGAGCATATAACTATGACAGCCCAGAGAGACTGGTGTGGTGTGTGGCAAGGAGCAGTTTGAAGAGACCAGAGACGGACGGTGCGACAGTTTGGAGCAGACAGATGGAGAGAAATGCTTCAGGGTGCACAGACATGGAGGAGACTGCTGGCTGCATTTGCTGTTGACAAAGATTGGTATAGAGCCTTAAAAGAACCCCTTGACCCCAAACACCCAGAAGTAAAGGAGCCTGGGCCTCCTCTCCCGACTAACCTTCTCTCTCCTACCTAAAGTTGGAAGGGAGAGGCTTTAAGGAACCCCAAATAAATGAGTATAAAAACAAGCACTACACACTGCCTGTAATGGTCACTTCCTATTACCAGAAGTGAGTGAACCACACAGAATGAGGTCCAGTCAGATCCCATAGCCACTGGACTAGGAGACAATTACAAGCACTCACATATCCATTCAGAAGTTATGCACTCCCATTTTAAATTCCCAGTCTGTCTATTTATCGGGAGACCAATTCCAGTGCCTCAGAATCCCTTTAGGGTCTTTCTTCTTGGAGGCCAGTGCCACCTCCGTATCCGTGGAGGCTTTGGATGCAGTCTCTAGTGGGGTCGTCATGCCCCCAGCAGCTCTTCTCCCCAGGGGCCCTTCCCTGGCCTGAATGTCCTCCCAGTCTCTTCTTTGTTCACTTGGAGACCCTGGTCCTGGGTCTCATGGACCCTTGGTCACTGGAAGGGCAGTAACTTCCAGGTTCTAGAGACCAAGAAATAGCAGCCTCTCTCAACCAAAGGCAGGGGGATGTAACCGATGAGGATCTCACAGAGGGTGAGGGTGCACCGGACCAGAACTGTTACAAGATCCTTCTGGAATAAGCACTATAGCAACGAAAGTTGGGGAGATGATGTCACAGCTGGACTGAAGCCAGGATAGCCCCCTTTCCTGAAAGGCTTCCCCTAGTTCTGATCCAGCTGCTGAGGAAGTTGTTCCAGTGTAAGCGTAACAGCTCTGCTCTGGTGTTGGCCCTCCTCCCAAGGGTCCAGGCTGAGGGGGTGAAAGGTGGGAGTCAGCACAGACACTGGGAGTCTGGTGAATGCAAGCTGAAAGCGAGCAGCTGCAGACTCATTTATCCCAGAAGAGAGAGCATAGGCTAGAGCTTTGGGCAACCAATCGGGTTCCTCCACGCCATCTGTGAGCCTGCCATGGGTTGTCCGTCCCTCGGCCGACTTTCCAATGTCAGGTCAAACACTCTTGACCCAATACTTCTGTAGTTACTTCAGCAGAAGCTGCCCCAGGCTGTGAGCCCTAGCGGCCCTTTGCTGGGGATGCCCACACTCTGGAACAGGAACGGGGAGTCCTGGAAGTTCAGAGCGGCAACACTTACATTTGGTGCAGTGACTCAGATTAAGTGTTTTCTCTCTAGGGT